GTTACATAGAATTATCATACATAGCAGCATATGTGTAGAGAACCTGGGATAACACAAAAAAGTCAGACAGAGTGACTTATTTCCATTGGGGTCCTTTTACCTTATTATTATAATATAAAGGTTATAATATTTTCTTATTATTCTATAATGAAGATAACATCTTATTATCATACTAAAAAGACTATCTACTACACGAGGGTCATTAAGACTATCTACTACACGAGGGTCATTAAGACTATCTACTACACGAGGGTCATTAAGACTATCTACAATACGAGGGTCATTACTAGGAATAAGGTAAAATTTACACGTATGTTAGCTAAAAAATAGAAAATCATTTCCCTCCCTTTCTGTAGCTACATTCATCAGACACCTTTTGGCACTCTTCTTGAACTGGTTCATGCTATGACTGGCTTCGACATGTGCGGGTAGTCTGTTCCATTCCTTTATTGCTGTACAATAAAAGGCGTTTGAAGCCTGGCCACTGACTGTGGGTACTACAAAGTTGTGCTCTCTCCCCCTAGGGAAGACAGTTTTAGCAGAAGACCAGTCAATAGGATGACTGTGATCTCTGATGTGACAGAAAAGAGCATTGTTAGTGTCAGCAAGCCTCTCTTATATGTGCGGGTTATTTGTGTATCGTTCCAGTCACGGTATTGTGCCTTTTTTTGTTGTTTATTGAGTTCTTCCTAATTGACCAGTTTTACCTATTCGGCACGACACATATATGTCGTGCCCTGCAGCCCAGGGACCTCCAGCTGGTGAAGGGCCCTGGGCTGCAGCCCTTAATCCGATCCTAAGCAGGTTCTTAATCCGGTCTGCTTACATAGAGTCCTCCACACCTCTCTCCTTGCAGGGATGACAACACCATCTGAGTTATCCCTAAAACTGTCAGAAACTGACTCGTTTTCTATATATCGGCAACACACTGATTTACGTTCTCTATCGCAGCCAGTATATGGGAGACTAATGCAATCTTACATCGCGATATTTAGGTTTACTTACTTAACAAATCACTTTTTTTTTTAGAATAGCCTTGAGGGCACATATAAAGTACATCATGTAGATTTAACCTCGGCTAAGCCTATATTTCAAACAGGTCCCGTTGACTTTTTTGGGTTATCCTGGGTAACTTACACTATGTATGATAATTGTACTTATGTGTACGTGTGCTTAAATAAACTTACTTATCCTCCATGGCAATGGCATCCGTCATGCAACCTTCCAGGGATCGCCTCAGGAAGCTCACTGAAGAGTTTGCCGGGACAACAAACGTTGGGCTGTTACTCAGGAATCTAGGTAAGTTTATTCGGGTACAGCTACACATAAATAGTTACATAATTTATTTTGAATCAGGGCGCTCCCTTGAAGGTCCAACAACAATAAGCAGGTTATTGTTTATACACATCTTCCCTTGACCAAGAATATTTTACAACATATTGGCACTCAGATGGACCTGTTTGCTGTCTGTAAAATAGGTTCCTGGGTGTTAGTCGACTGGTGTGGGTCGCATCTATATAGTAGTATGTCACTCATGTTGGCTATGGTCTGTATACCTTGTACTTGTAGAAATAAATATTATTATATAATGAACTCAGATCACTATAACTACACCTCACATGTAAACACAAACACACACTAAAATAGAGATTGCTTATTTCGGCCTCCAAAGGCCCTCTTTAGCACAAGAGGGAGGCTGTGGATGAAGAGAGGACGACCACTCGCTCTTACACTAAATACGTTTATTTAGGTACAGGTACACATAAGTACAATTACCATACAGGTGGTGGCCCGGTGGCCTGGTGGCTAAAGCTCCCGCTTCACACACGGAGGGCCCGGGTTCGATTCCCGGCGGGTGGAAACATTCGACACGTTTCCTTACACCTGTTGTCCTGTTCACCTAGCAGCAAATAGGTAGCAAATAGGTACCTGGGTGTTAGTCGACTGGTGTGGGTCGCATCCTGGGGGACAAGATTAAGGACCCCAATGGAAATAAGTTAGACAGTCCTCGATGACGCACTGACTTTCTTGGGTTATCCTGGGTGGTTAACCCTCCGGGGTTAAAAATCCGAACGAAATCTTATCTTATACACAATAAATTACCTAGGAAGTCACGACAAAACGCCTTCGAGTAACAATTAAAATATATCTATTAGCGGGCTTTAAGTGCAGAAATTCATACTACTTGTCTGTTTAACTAGAAACTTCAGTAGATTATAAATTTTTCCCTAATCATCAAGGAAAAATAAGGTCAGAGACTGGTAGTGGGTGATAAAACTCAAGAACTAAGAGAGTTACCCCACAGAAAGCTCCGTTTTCTATGTAACTCTCAGAGCCAGGCTATGACGGACTACTACAATTAAATTTTTATTTATTTATTTATTTATTTATTTATTATAAATTTGTGCACACATACAGAGGTACAAAAAAATACAGATAAGAGCAGTATGCCAAAGCCACTTATACTATGCATAGCATTACGGGCTGGCTTAAAATTAACTTAAGATTAATTAAGCAATGATGAAGTCAGTGATAAAACATTAATGTAAACAGATTACTATAAAGCACAAGTGAGTATTACAAAGACCTTTCTCTGACCCTTACTGTTATTGTAACAATCATTGGTAAAGCTCTAAACACGAAGGAGTCATACTGGGAACAGGGGGTTAACTGGGATTTCCTTTAAGCTCCAGTTCTTTGCATTAAGAGGCCTGCCTCGGCATCAAGTCCCGTGGCTCGGTTGACAACGCACTCGCCTCACACAATGAGTGTCTGTGGTTCGAACCCCGGAGCGGGTAGAAACGTTGGGCATGTTTCCTGACACCTGCTGTTCCTGTTCACCTAGCTTTAAAATGGGTACCTGGTGTGGATCGCATCCTGGGGACAAAATTAGACCAAATTTGCCCGAAACGCTCTACATAAAAAGGGGCTTTCTATATAGTAGTATGTCATTGATGTCAATTATAATATAATAATAATATATCTTTATTTAGTACATGTACAAGGTATACAGACCATAGCTGACATCAATGACATACTACTATATAGAAAGCCCCTTGTTATGCTGAGCATTTCGGGCAAATTAGGTCAGTTTTGCCCCAGGATGCAACCCACACCAGTCGACTAACACCCAGGTACCTATTTTATTGATAGGTGAACATGGACAGGAGGTATCTTATGGAAACACGACCTATAATTTTCCAGCCGTACTGGAGATTAGATCCCCGGACCTCAGTGTGTCAGCTGAGTGCACCTTGTACATGTACTTATACAAATAAGTATTATTATTAAGAAAATTACTATCAACACCCACAGCTACAATTAGCAAAGTTAACGACAAATAATTAGCAACTTACCTTCAATTTAGGCCTGCTGGATCGCAATTTAGGCCTGCTGGATCTCAATTTAGTCCTGCTGGATCGCAATTTAGTCCTGCTGGATCTCAATTTAGGCCTGCTGGATCTCAATTTAGGCCTGCTGGATCTCAATTTAGGCCTGCTGGATCTCAATTTAGGCCTGCTGGATCTCAATTTAGGCCTGCTGGATCGCAATTTAGTCCTGCTGGATCGCAATTTAGTCCTGCTGGATCTCAATTTAGGCCTGCTGGATCTCAATTTAGTCCTGCTGGATCTCAATTTAGTCCTGCTGGATCTCAATTTTGGCCTGAATCTCAATTTAGGCCTGCTGGATCTCAATTTAGGCCTGCTGGATCTCAATTTAGGCCTGCTGGATCTCAATTTAGGCCTGAATCTCAATTTAGGCCTGCTGGATCTCAATTTAGGCCTGCTGGATCTCAATTTAGGCCTGCTGGATCTCAATTTAGGCCTGCTGGATCTCAATTTAGGCGTGCTGGATCTCAATTTAGGCCTGAATCTCAATTTAGGCCTGCTGAATCTCAATTTAGGCCTGCTGAATCTCAATTTAGGCCTGCTGAATCTCAATTTAGGCCTGCTGGATCTCAATTTAGGCCTGCTGGATCTCAATTTAGGCCTGCTGGATCTCAATTTAGGCCTGCTGGATCTCAATTTAGGCCTGCTGGATCTCAATTTAGGCCTGCTGGATCTCAGTTTTAATTCAGAATTGGTGGTGGTGGTAGTGGGTCACCATACTTACCTGTGAGGCACCGCAGCGTGCTGGTCTCTGGTGGTCCAGAGGCGCCAGGTATCAAGAGTTTCCTCCAGAAATTTACATAATTAATAGAAACTGTCTGACCTAAGTAACGTCCTGGGTAGAAGAGGACATTAAACGTAATGATAATGCCAGGAGCTCGAGGAGGGAGGGAGAGAGAGCGAGGGAGGGAGAGAGAGCGAGGGAGGGAATGAGAGGGAGAGAAGAGAAAGAGAAAGAGAAAGAGAGGAGAGAGGAGAGAGAGAGAGAGAGAGAGAGAGAGAGAGAGAGAGAGAGAGAGAGAGAGAGAGAGATGGAAGGAAAGGGAGGGGGAGAGAGAGAGGGAGGGAGGGAAGGAGAGAGAGAGAGAGAGAGAGAGAGAGAGAGAGAGAGAGAGAGAGAGAGAGAGAGAGAGACCGACCCCCCTACTCAACTTTTCAACGAATAATGCCAGAATCAAATATGAAAAAGAAAACAGAGGACTGAAATCCAACCAAAATATAGAAAGCAACGAAGCGGATATAGGAGATGAGACAGATTATAAAACTTTGTTACAATGACCCAACACACTGGCAGAGGAGGAGTGTGCATGATACAGGTCACAGGTACACCTGAACTCTTACTAACATCATTTTAACGCAGCAACTGCATGAATAATGGTAAATGTGTTTCCTCATTCTCGGCTCACCTTACCCTGTGGGAAATGGTCTCTGGGGGTAAAAAAAACCCTCCAGGAAGTTAAAAACCTGGAGAGGTACTAACCAGGCCAGTGGATCACGCACTCACTCGCCATGGATTCAAATCCCACCCGTACCATTGTTTGTCAGGTAATAATTATAATCATAATTATGTGCTAAACTGACAAGGGTCATACAGCCTGTTTAGGTACTGACCTTCATGTGGAACATCATAAGTTCGTTGGAGAGCTTGGAGCGAACTTGTGTGTCGAAGACCTTCTTGTAGAGGAGAGAGTTACTGATGGAGATGCCGCAGTAGATACTGAAGGCCGTGGCGAGTTCTTCGTCGAACCTGGTGAAGTGTAGACCAGTAGTCTTGTTGCAGAGCTCCGCCACACCGATCACCTGACCATTCTCCTTGATGGGGAAGCACAGAATGTTCCTGCAACAACCACGCCAACTCCAGTCATTCTATCAATTGTTAGCTAAACCAACACAGTGTATATATATATAATACATATATATATATATATATATATATATATATATATATATATATATATATATATATATATATATATATATATATATATATAATATTATATATACGTTGTGTGTGTGTGTACTCACCTAATTGTACTCACCTAATTGAGGTTGCAAGGGTCGAGACTCAGCTCCTGGCCCAGCCTCTTCACTGATCGCTACTAGGTCCTCTCCCTCTCTGCTTCCTGAGCTTTGTCATACCTCTTCTTAAAACTATGTATGGTTCCTGCCTCCACTACTTCACTTGCTAGGCTATTCCACTTCCTGACGACTCTATGAAGAAATACTTCCTAACGTCCCTGTGAGTCGTCTGAGTCTTCAGCTTCCAGTTGTGACCCCTTGTCCCTGTGTCCCCTCTCTGGAACATCCTATCTCTGTCCACCTTGTCTATTCCCCGCAGTATCTTGTATGTTGTTATCATGTCTCCCCTGACCCTTCTGTCCTCCGTGTCGTCAGTCTGATTTCCCTCAACCTTTCCTCGTACGACATTCCCCTGAGCTCTGGGACTAGCCTTGTTGCAAACCTTTGTACTTTCTCTAACTTCTTGACGTGCTTGACCAGGTGTGGGCTCCAGACTGGTGCTGCATACTCCAGTATGGGCCTAACATACACAGTGTACAGTGTCTTGAACGATTCCTTATTAAGGTATCGGAACGCTATTCTCAGGTTTGCCAGGCGCCCGTATGCTGCAGCAGTTATTTGGTTGATGTGTGCCTCCGGTGACGTGCTCGGTGTTATGGTCACCCCAAGGTCTTTCTCCCTGAGTGAGGTTTGTAGTCTTTGTCCACCTAGCCTATACTCTGTCTGCGGTCTTCTTTGCCCCTCCCCAATCTTCATGACTTTGCATTTGGCAGAATTGAATTCGAGAAGCCAGTTTCTGGACCACATGTCAAGCCTGTCCAGGTCTCTTTGCAGTCCTGCCTCATCCTCATCCGATTTAATTCTTCTCATCAACTTCACATCATCTGTGAATAGGGACACTTCAGAGTCTATTCCTTCCATCATGTCGTTCATATATATCAAAAATAGCACTGGTCCTAGAACTGACCCCTGTGGGACCCCGCTCGTAACAGGCGCCCACTGTGATACCTCTTCACGTACCATGACTCGTTGCTGCCTCCCTGTCAGGTATTCCCTTATCCATTGCAGTGCCCTCCCTTTTACATGCGCCTGATCCTCCAGCTTCTGCACTAATCTCTTGTGGGGAACTGTGTCAAAGGCCTTCCTGCAGTCTAGGAAAACGCAATCTACCCACCCCTCTCTCTTGTGTCTTACTTCTGTTACCTTGTCATAAAACTCCAGGAGGTTTGTGATACAAGATTTGCCTTCCATGAACCCATGCTGGTTTTCATTTATAATCTTGTTCCAATCCAGGTGTTCCACCACTCTCCTTCTGATAATGTTCTCCATGACTTTGCACACAATACATGTGTGTGTGTGTGTGTGTGTGTGTGTGTGTGTGTGTGTGTGTGTGTGTGTGTGTGTAATGCCGAATAGGTAAAACTTGCGACTTTGACTTAAATAGCAACGCCCTTCTTGCCGAATAAGGCAAGCAAAAATTTGTGTATGCAATAATTTCACAAAAATCATTCTGAATCTAACGAAAAAATATATTTCATTGTGTTTGCTTATTATTAAATTATTGCAAACTTATCTAAAATATATTTCGTTGGATTTGGCTAAATTAAATTGCGCTTGTTATAATAAGGTTAAGTAAGTTCTCTAGGTTATTCTTGGTAAAAAATTATTAATTTTTACATTACCTGGAGTTTACTGGATAGAGTTCCGGGGGTCAACGCCCCCGCGGCCCGGTCTGTGACCAGGCCTCCTGGTGGATCAGAGCCTGATCAACCAGGCTGTTGCTGCTGGCTGCACGCAAACCAACGTACGAGCCACAGAACGGCTGGTCAGGAACTGACTTTAGATGCTTGTCCAGTGCCAGCTTGAAGACTGCCAGGGGTCTGTTGGTAATCCCCCTTATGTGTGCTGGGAGGCAGTTGAACAGTCTCGGGCCCCTGACACTTATTGTATGGTCTCTTAACGTGCTAGTGACACCCCTGCTTTTCATTGGGGGGATGCTGCATCGTCTGCCAAGTCTTTTGCTTTCGTAGTGAGTGATTTTCGTGTGCAAGTTCGGTACTAGTCCCTCTAGGATTTTCCAGGTGTATATAATCATGTATCTCTCCTCCTGCGTTCCAGGGAATACAGGTTTAGGAACCTCAAGCGCTCCCCGTAATTGAGGTGTTTTATCTCCGTTATGCGCGCCGTGAAAGTTCTCTGTACATTTTCTAGGTCGGCAATTTCACCTGCCTTGAAAGGTGCTGTTAGTGTGCAGCAATATTCCAGCCTAGATAGAACAAGTGACCTGAAGAGTGTCATCATGGGTTTGGCCTCCCTAGTTTTGAAGGTTCTCATTATCCATCCTGTCATTTTTCTAGCAGATGCGATTGATACAATGTTATGGTCCTTGAAGGTGAGATTCTCCGACATGATCACTCCCAGGTCTTTGACGTTGGTGTTTCGCTCTATTTTGTGGCCAGAATTTGTTTTTGTACTCTGATGAAGATTTAATTTTCTCATTTTTTACCATATCTGAGTAATTGAAATTTATTATCGTTGAACTTCTATTGTTTTCTTGCAGCCCACTAAAGATTTTGTTGATTCTGCTGGAGCCTTGCATTAAATGAAAAAATATCTTTAAACGTATAAGAGAAAATTTTAGAAAAGGACTTAATTTTAAATGAGTCTTGCTAAATTTTACCAGTTTTACCTCTTTCGGCACGACATTATATAATATATATAGTAATATATATTATTATATTATTATATATATATATATTATATTTATTATATATATAATATAATATATCACACAATTATACACAAAAATCAATCGGAAACAGGTGATGTTAATGCAGGAGAAGCCACAAGGGGCTGGAAATCTTCAGTTCTAGATCTTTCGCACTCTCGTGCGTCATCAGGAGCTATGCAGTGTTGCAAGACAGCAACAGATAGGATGGGAAATTCTCTGAGTCGAGGCAGAGGGTATCAACGGTAACCCATGTCACTCTGTGACATGGAAATATTGGGGCATGTTCCCCAGAGATACCTGCTGTCCCTGTTCACCTGTCAGTAAAATAGGTACGTAGGTGTTAGTCGACTGGTGTGGGTCGCATCCTGGGGACAACATTAACGTAATTTGCCAGAAATGCTCAGCATAACAAGGGACTTTCTGTCACTGATTACAGCTATGGTCTATATAAGTTATATCATGTACTTGTAGAAATAATAATAATTATTATTATTATTAACTACATAATCCTGAAGGGTACAAATGCAAGGTATGCAAGCACACAAGGTGGGCGTGGACGTACCTGGTCTTGAAGCCGGTGCACTGATCGAAGCCTCGGTAGAAGAGAGGGTGGGCGTAGGCGTCTCTAATGTTGATGAGGTGGCCAGTTGTGGCCACAGGCCCAGCTATCCCTGGGTGGCCGGAGCCGCACCTCCCCCCCGACTGTAAGGGCCACACCCAGCGGATTTTCCCCTGTCCTAGAGCCAAAACTGTGGTCACAGCTTCCTTTTTTTCACCTGAAGGCAGTACAACCTTCCCTATGATGCACAGGTGTACACTAGGTCATACTCAGTACCATGGCTGTGGTAGCTTATACTAGTAGCAATGGTAGGTAATGGTGAGAAACAGAGGAGAGATAGGGACGGAGGTCAAATGGTGAGAAACAGAGGAGAGACAGGGACGGAGGCAATGTGAGAAACAGAGGAGAGACAGGGACGGGGTCAAATGGTTGAGAAAACAGAGGGAGACAGGGCGGAGGTCAAATGGTGAGAAACAGGGAGAGACAGGGAGGAGGTCAAATGGCGAGAAACAGAGGAGAGACAGGGACGGAGGTCAAATGGTGAGAAACAGAGGAGAGACAGGGACGGAGGTCAAATGGTGAGAAACAGAGGATAGATAGGGACGGAGGTCAAATCACACTGGTAATGAACATATTCACTGTGGACAGTGAAAAAAAATCTATATTTGTTCATTATGAAGTGAAAAAACATTTAGATGTTCATTGTCAACAGTGAACACTGCCTAGATATTCAATGTCAACAGTGAACACTTCCTAGATGTTCAATGTCAACAGTGAACACTTCCTAGATGTTCAATGTCAACAGTGAACACTTCCTAGATGTTCAATGTCAACAGTGAACACTTCCTAGATGTTCAATGTCAACAGTGAACACTGCCCAAGAACGTTCAATGTCCAACAGGAACATGCCTAGATATTTCAATGTCAACAGTGAACACTTCCTAGATGTTCAATGTCAACAGTGAACACTGCCAAGATGTTCAATGTCAACAGTGAACACTGCCTAGATATTCAATGTCAACAGTGAACACTTCCTAGATGTTCAATGTCAACAGTGAACACTGCCAAGATGTTCAATGTCACAGTGAACACGCCTGACATTCAATTTTCAACAGTGAACACTTCCTAGATGTTCAATGTCAACAGTGAACACTGCCAAGATGTTCAATGTCAACAGTGAACACTGCCTAGACATTCAATGTCAACAGTGAACACTTCCTAGATGTTCAATGTCAACAGTGAACACTTCCTAGATGTTCAATGTCAACAGTGAACACTGCCTAGACATTCAATGTCAACAGTGAACACTTCCTAGATGTTCAATGTCAACAGTGAACGTATTTTAAGTGTTCATTTAAAGTGCAGACACTTCTAGAAGTTCAAAATGAACTGTGCAATACAGTGTTCAGGTGTTCAAATATAGCTCCTGCAAGTACTGGAAAAATACGTGAGAGAGAGAGAGAGAGAAAGGGACTGTACTTTCTAATAATATACTTTCTCAGGCAACTAGATTATTATTATTATTATTATTATTATTTATTATAAAAAGCGCTAAATCTGTAAGGGTCGTACAGCCGAGCTTAAAGGAGGAAAGAGAGAGAGTGAGAGAGCTGGATAAAGGGAGCTAATGTGAGGTAAGGGCAGTAGCAAAGTAGCAGGTGTGGGCACTAGCCAACACAGGTATGGGCAGTGCCCAGGTACTTCCCGAGATGACGAGTCCTGGTATGAGAGTAGCCACTGGCAGCAGTACTTCCTCTAGTGACTGCAGACATGGAGACTTGCGTTAGTTTCTCTCTCTCTCTCTCTCTCTCTCTCTCTCTCTCTCTCTCTCTCTCTCTCTCTCTCTCTCATCTTTCCGCTTTTCTCTGTTTCTCTTCCTCTGACGGATTACAAACACAAGCACGCCACACCACACACACACACACACACAACACACACCACAAAACACACACACAAGGTTAATATGTCAGAGGACACTGCTATCAGGAAATGAGCGCTAAACCCGTGAGAGGCTCATACGGCGCCCTGGAGGAATGGCAGGTAATTGAATATAAAGAAAAGGTTAGCTCCAGTTCCTAGGATTTAGAGCTCATATCAATAAGGAGGACTTCTCACTCCCCCAATCCTAGCAGCCTTCCCGAAGGATTATGCAGGGCACAGGATACCCGCACAATGCACGCAGGATACACAGAACACACGCAGGATACACAGGACAGGATATACAGGACACACGTAGGATACACAGAACACACGCAGGATACACAGGACACAGGATATACAGGACACACGTAGGATACACAGAACATACGCAGGATACACAGGACACAGGATATACAGGGGCACAGTAGGATACACGACATACGCAGGTACACAGGACACACAGGACACACGTAGGATACCCCAGAAGACACGAGGATTTCAAGGAACACGCAGGATAACAGGACACCACAGGACACAAGTAGGATACCAGAGCAACGCAGGATACACAGGATATCGGACACCCCGCAAGACACACAGGGCTCGCGCAGGAACACGCTGGAAACAATGACATACGCAGGACACACTCAGGCAGCAATACGGAGACAGGGTTTTTCAGGACCACGCAGGACACACGCGGACATACACGAACAAACTCAGGCAGCAGGACACAGCCAGGACTATACCAGGACACACGCAAGACACACAGGACACACGCAAGGCACACAGGATACACGTAGGACACACGCAGGACACACACAGGCAGCAACAAGGCGACAGTTCTTCAGGACACACGCAGGACACACACAGGAGACACGCAGGCAGGAACAGGGGACAGTTCTTCAGGACACACCAGGACCCCCACCAGGCAGCAAACAAGGGGACAGTTCTTCAGGACACACACAGGACACACGCAGGCAGCAACAAGGGGACAGCTCTTCAGGACACACACAGGACACACGCAGGCAGCAACAAGGGGACAGTTCTTCAGGACACACACAGGACACACGCAGGCAGCAACAAGGGGGGCAGCTCTTCAGGACACACCAGGAACAGAGGCCCCGCAACAAGGGGACAGCTCCTTCAGGACAACAAGGACACACGCAGGCAGCAAAAAAAGGGGACAGCTCTTCAGGACACACACAGGACACACGCAGGCAGCAAAAAGGGACAGTTCTTCAGGACACACAGGACACACGCGGCAGCAAAAAGGGGAAGCTCTTCAGGACACACACAGGACACACGCAGGCAGGGAACAAGGGACAGCTCTTCAGGACACACACGGACCACGCAGGCAGCAACAAGGGACAGTCTTCAGGGACACACACAGGACACACGCAGGCAAACAACAAGGGGACACCCCTTCAGGACAAACACAGGACACACGCAGGCAGCAACAGGGGACAGTCTTCAGGATAACACAGGGACATACACAGGACCCCGGCAGGCAGCAACAAGGGGACAGCTTTCAGGACACACCAGGACACACACACAAAACAACAGGACGCACGCAGGACACCCGGACAACAAGGACCTACACAGGACAACACACAGGACACACACACAAGGGCACACACACAGGACACACTAAGGCAGCAAAAAGGGGACAGTTCTTCAGGACACAAACGGGGCACACACACAGGACCACACCGGAAAACTAAGGCACAAAGGGGACAGTTCTTCAGGACACACAAGGACCCCACCAAGACACAGAACACACTAAGGCACAACAAGGGGACAGTCTTCAGGACACAAACAGGACACACACACAGGACACACACCAGGACACACTAAGCGGCAACAAGGGGACAGTCTTCAGGACACAAACGGACACACACCACAGGACACCACACAGGACCACATAGGCAGCAACAAGGGGACGTTCTCAGGACACACAACAGGACACCACACAGGACACACACACAGGACACACACAGGACACACTAAGGCAGCAACAAGGGGACAGTTCTTCAGGACACACACAGGACACACACAAGGACACACGGGCACACTAAGCAGAACAAGGGAGTTCTTCAGGACCCCACACGGACACACACACAGGGGCACCCCACAGGACAACTAAGGCAGTAACAAGGGGACAGTTCTTCAGGACACACACAGGACACACTAAGGCAGCACAAAGGGGGCAGTTCTTCTGGACACACACAGGACCCCCACAGGACACCCACAGGACACACACACAGGACACACAACAGGACCACCACAGGACCCAAAAACAGGACCTAAAGGCAGCAGCAAGGGGTCGTTTTTCAGGACACACTAGGAACACACACAGGACACACACAGGAACACCACAGGACACTCACAAGGACACACCACAGGACAGAACACCCAAGGCAGAGCAAGGGGACAGTTTTCGGGAACACCAGGACACACACGGACACACCGGCACACACACGGACATACACAGGAACACCAGGAACACTAAGGCAGCAACAAGGGGCAGTTTTCAGGACACACCAGGAACACACACGAACACACCGGACACACACACAGGACCTCAACAGGACCCAGGACACACTAAGGGGCACAGGGGACAGTTCTTCAGGACACCACAGGACACACGAGGACCACACAGGACACAACAGAGGACACACCCGAGGACACACACCAGGACACACACACAGGACACGGACACACTAAGGGGAGCACAAGGGGGGGCAGTTTTCAGGACACACACAGGACACACACGGAAACCCACAGGGCATACACACAGGACACACACAGGACCACGCACAGGGGAAAACACACGGGACACACAACAGACACAACACAAAACAACAGGGGCACACACACGGACACACACAGGACACACCCGGACACACAACGACACACACGGACACACAAAGGGCACACACCCAAAGGGGAAAACACACAGGACAACAAACAGGACACACACCAGGACACACACAGGACACAGGACAACACACAGAACACCCACAGAAACACACACAGGACACACACAGGAACTCACCAAGACACACGGAACACACGGACACTAAGGCAGCAACAAGGGGGCAGTTCTTCAGGACACACACAGGACACACCACAGGACACACCAGGGCACACCGGACACATAAGGCAGCAACAAGGGGACAGTTCTTTAGGGCACACACGGACACCACACACAGGAAAAGGACACACTAAGGCAGCAACAAGGGGAGTTCTTCAGGACACACCACGGACACACAAGGACACACTAAGGAGCAGCCGGGGGACAATTCTTCGGACACCCCAGGACACACAAGGACACACCCCAGGGACACGGACCCACTAGGCAGCACAAAGGGGGCAGTTTTTCAGGACACAAAACAGGACACAGGACACACACACACAGGACCACACACAGGAAACACAGGACACACACGGCAGGCCCCAACTGGGAAAACTAGGCAGCAACAAGGGGGACGTTCTTCAGGACACACACACAGGACAACACAGGACACCACCACAGGACACCACAGGACACCACACAGGACACACCCAGGACACCACAACCCGGGGCACACACACAGACCCCTAAGCAGCAACAGGGGCAGTTCCCTTTAGGACACACACAGGACACAACCAGGACACACACAGGACACACCACAGGACACACACACAGGACACAGGGGGCCCCCTAAGGCAGCCAAGGGGACAGTTCTTCAGGGGCAACCCCACAGGACACACAGGACACACACACACAAGGACCCACAGGACACCCAGGCACACAGGACCAACACAGGACAACCAGGACACCACACCCAGGACACCCAACGGCACATAAGGCAGCAACAGGGGACAGTTCTTCAGGGCACACACAGGACACCCCACACAGGACACCCGGCACACACACAGGACACACACACAGGGCCACTAGGCAGCAACAAGGGCAGTTCTTTTAGGCACACCAAGGGACACCGGAAACCACAGGCACACACACACCACAGGACCACACGGAACACCCACAGGACACACACAGGACCACACCCACAGGGGCAACACACACAGGACACACCCCCCAGGACCACACACCAGGAACCCCTAAGGCAGCAACAGGGGACAATCTTCGGGGCACACCAGGCCCCACACAGGACAACAAAGGCGCCAACAGGGCAGTTCTTCAGGGCCCCACAGGACACACACACAGGCCACACCTCCAGGACACACTAAGGCAGCAACCCAAAGGGGACGTTCTTCAGGACACACAAGGGCACACCAGGACACACAGGGACACCAGGACACACTAAGGGACAACAGGGGACAGTTCTTCAGGACTCACCCCAGGACCACCAGACACACGACACACTAAGGCAGCAACAAGGGGACAGTTCTTAGGACCACCCACGGACACCAAAAGGACACACCCCAGGACACACAGGACACACTAAGGGAGCAACAAGGGGCATTCTTTAGGACACACACGACACACACACAGGACACACACAGGTTTCACACACAGGCCCACACACAGGCCACCACCGGACCCCCCCACCAGGACACACACCAGGACCCACACGGCACACCACAGGACACACACCAGGACACACCAGGACACACAGGACCCCACCCAAGGCAGCAACAAGGGACGTTCTTCGGACACCCCAAGGACCACACTTTAAAGGGAGCAACAAGGGGACAGTTTTTTCTGGACCCCCACAGGACCCAGGACCCCACCGGACACACACCCCGGCACACACACAGGACACAGGCACCACTAAGCAGCAACAAGGGGACAGTTCTTCGGACCACAGGCACCACACGGACACTCACACAGGCCTC